TACTCATCCACTGTAATGTGCATTGGGTAGAGTTATCTAACGGACTCCGAACTGTATTGCAGCAGTCAATTCAATTGTGTGCGTTGTATAAAAATGGCGGGAAATTCTTACTTGTCAAATTCCATGGGAAGAGATTCGTGGCCTTTCCGAACTCGACATATCAAGACCTTATCATCTGGGTTATCTGTTGTACTGAAATAGAATTGGCCTTCATTGTCACTCGCTAAAAAAATGAAAATAAAAATTAATAAATAATAGATTAGAGATGACGAAGAAAGGTTTAAAACAACTGCGCAAACAAATATGTAAGAAATATGCCAGCTGATCAGAATGAAAACAAAAGCCAATCGTGAATTACTCGCTCATGTTTTTCCGCGCTGTGCTTCAGCCACATGTATTGGCTTAGAGCTATGATTTGTTAAAGCTTGGTTCAAACTTGCAGCGCAAATGCAAATGCAATTGCACATGCAAACGACGTTCACACTTTGAACGCAAATGCAAGATAACATACGCATTCGTACTCGAAGTCTTTTTCGAGATGGCGGACGAGCCTAAGGCATTTGTTTTCATTTAATTTGTTTTTTGCGCTGGCCCGGTTTACACGTGTGAAATGCAATTGGTATGCATGAAAATGAAATGTTTTCCATGTCTTTCGTTGACGTTTGCTTATGCGTTAGGGTCACTCACATGTTTATTTTCTTATGTTTTCATTTGCATCTACGTTTGCATTTGCGCCGTATGTGTAAACCACGCTTAACTGTGCAGCGTCCGTTGTAATAGGCCAGAGCGATTACTTTGGTTTTGGTTTCACTCAATTGAAAACCGCTCTAACCATATTTAATAGAGGGGAATGGTTATGAAGCCCGGCAAACATCAAAGGAGCAATGAGTTACAGAATAGAATCAAAACATTTCTATCGGTTAGTTCCTCGGTCAGTAATAAACAACTATTGTGTTTTGTGTACAGTCAAGGCCAAAAAAGAGAACAAAAACATACAACAAAAAACTTTGTCGAGTTTCATAACCATTCTCCTCTGTTAACTATGCTCTAACTAGCTTATGAGAGGCTTTATGCATTTCTTTCTGAGGGTTAGCCCTAGTAAGGGAATGGAAAATTTCTAGCTAAATAATTGGCTTATGAATTTCCTTCTGAGGGTTAGCCCGTGCGAAGATGGGAAAAATTTCTATAAGGATCACAAGAGGCAAATACAAATCTGCTTGACTTTCACGCTGGGATTGGAACACGCGACCTTCGAATTCTGTCTACCATCCTGAACTACGAGACTGAATAGGAGCTAGCAAGTCTTAGGTTATACCCGCAGCTAGTATCTAATAGACCTTTTCGGCTTGGGCAGTTTGTTGCCCCATTTCAGACCATGTGAGGATACTCTTGAGAATTCTTGCTTTCAAATGTTCAAATGAATAATTTTAGATGGATTAAAAAAAAAAATTCTCTTGAGAATACCACGTGGTCTGTAATGGAAAAACAAACCGCCTTAGCTAAAAAGGTCTACTCGAGTTAAAGTAGATGTAAGAGAACACAATTGCAAGGAACAAGTGCTATAGGCCCCATACCACAAGAATTGAAATTAGAAGGCAATGAAAATTAAAATAGGCCACTTCCGAGTTGCCTTTTGCCTCTCTCTATTAAAATGAGTCTTCCTGCAAAACCATTCATATGGAAATGTATCCGCCTACAGGTTCATTTTCATGAAGATCAAACTCATTTTCATATGAAAGGTTTTGCGCGAAGACTCGTTTTGAAACAGAGGCACAAGGTAACAAGGAAATGGCCTATTGAATCTGAAGAGTGTTTTAAGTTGTGAAATAACCATTTAATTTTCTCGTTTTCCTTTTTGGCTGCAATTACATTCTTTGTTAAATAAGCCACGTGATCTAACAGTCTGAATATCCTCATGCCTAATACCTATAACGAAGTAATGTGGTCCACTCTGCTGAGGAACAAAGTAACCTCTGAGTCGCGATCCATAATGATCTCCCCAGTTGTCTGGCTGGCTGAATGTTGGTATGATAGCAGCATATGTTGGGAGCGAAGGGAAGCGGGGATCTTCTAAAAGTCTTTTAACTAGGTAGCCGTCGACCCTATCCCATCGCTCAAGAACGACTCCTCTTTGTCGCCGCATTTTAACCGCTGAAGATTGAGGAAGGATTCGTACAGATTAACCTCGGTAATTTGAAGTTGCATGCATTCCATTTAAAGACAGGCATCCTCGCTAACACTACAGCCAACGCGCAGCGGTCATTGACATAATAAGCTTTATTGTCGGAAATCTATGAAACTCTTTTTTTTTGCGGTAAAAGGTACATGTTATAACGTTTGGTGGTTGGAACAATCAACGAGACTTTGAAGCTGCTTCCCTAACCTTAACTGTCTTATAGGGTCGTGGTAGACATTGACTGATGTACCTGCACTGTTTATTTGAAACTGTAAGAGATATTATATTTAACCTACTCAAATTCGCAATTAGCCAATCAGAAGCCGTGTCTACTGTCTTGATGACCTGTGATTTCAAGTCACTGATCTGATATCATTACGTACGATATCATGGTCACTTTGCCGGATCTGGGTACGGCAAAAACCTAAACGTACCTTTTCTGTTATACTTCGGCGGTATGTCAGGCTCGTTTGGTCTCGCCACGGGTATTTCGGCTGGACTACGTCGCGTAGAAAGATACGAACCATTGCTCGATTAAACTCGCCTGATATATGTGCCGCCAAAGCGTATCAGAATGGTGCGTTTAGGTATAGAAACAGCTGTTTCTCCTACTCGACTACAAGTACATGTAGCTTAATGTAACCACAATCAATCCCTGCTGGTTTTGAGCAAATGGAAAGAACAAGTAACAATTACCGCAGCAATTATTAAATTAGTTCAAGTGAGCACTTGAAAGCACACAGAGGTCAACGCCATCATTGGCACAATGAGTTCCTTAGCAACTTCCCAAACGAATCTGGCGGATTTTAATGAATTCAAACGTTACGTAACGCTTTTCTCAATAACACCCAGGGTAACTGTTGGGGTAAGTGAATAATATCTACCTTTAATATCCCGCTTTGCGATTATTTCAGCAGTGTAAGGACTTTGTTTTTCCTTTTCCGCTGTAAGGATTTAAAAACGGAATCAATGGCAGATGAAAGACACTTAGTCTAATAGGATAGCAATCACTTGCAGTTACTGATCAGTGGTTGCTATAAATTTCCACCGAGCTGTATTCAATACAGATTAATCTCCATATAGCTAGGGTTAAAGACATCCATTCGAAATTCGAAAGCCAAATTTATTTTAGAAAATGAAACTTAAGATGATCATTTCAGAATGAGAACACTCAGTACATAAATAAGCTCTACAAAGTTGCAAATAGTTATTTAATATCTTGCAGTAAAAAAAAAAAAAGAAAAAAAAAACCTAGGGCTTTATGAGAACGTCGACTCTCTTTGACTGTGTTTTTGTAATAATTTCAGTTTTGGAGTGCCTTATCAAATCTAAGCCCTCAATTATTGTAGGTACCAGTTTTCAATCTGACAAACCTACAACGCAGCTTGACATTGCCAGCACATATTTATTAATTCTAAGTACATCTTTGAAATGGCTGATTATCATGTTTTAAACCAGTTTCAACACTGTTAAGGTTTTTTGGACTAAATATTTTGAGTGAAGATGATTTTGTAGTAAACAGTCTCCACCAAGACACTAGGACTACTTCTTTCAGTTCACAAACGACAAGTGATGTTGTGAACGCATTCAACATGTCGTTGAATGACCCACAACATAACAACAAAATTACAATAAATTTAGAAGGGTTTTATACATAAATCAGCTAACATAAAGCAAAGTCGACCGAAACAGTTTGATTTTTATGTAAGTCAGGATTAATTTCTAATTCACAAGTTTACATTGCTCGCGACTCAGACAAAGAAAGTATTTCAACCTGTCATTGACCTACCTTTTTGTTTCTTTTCCTCCAAAATGAACCCATGGCCCTCGCACATGAAAACGCCAAACAGCAAAATAGGTACAATTCTCATATTGCACGTTCATGACACGAGAGTCAGGTTCACGGGGAATGCATGGTCCGCTTCTATCGTTTTTATAAACATCATTTATAAGATTTCCCTCAGTGTTTCTTTTCTTTAAAAGGACTAAATTTCTAGACTAATACACCACCCGCTAAAAGTCACTTGGTAGTGTCATTGGAAACGTCATGACGTAATCCAATATAAGAAGCTCAAGTAAAAGGATTCAAACTTACCCCACATAAAATTTTTGTCGAAGTTTTTTCAGGAGTTCTTGGAACTGAGGTTGCAAAATGAGTTATTTTATTGGTCCTACAAAAGGTGTTGAAAGAATTGTTTAATTAATAGTGGTGAATGCTTCTGAACTCCTGTTTTATATAATTTCAACACCAGAAGAGAACAATAAGCGCCTTGTTTCTGAAGTATATGTTGACGTCGAGGGCTGAGCTGGTACTGGGATCATGTAGTAACGTTCTCGTTTGGCGACTTTGGTACTGCATTCAAGCGAAGGTGCTACATAGCAAGATAATAAAACACGTTTATGCAGCGAGAAGCAGCAGGGCATGTATGGCAAAACCCAAGACCCAGTCAATGTCGTTTGCTGTATGCTGAATCATACAGCAAACTTTACAAGAAACTGCACATCCCTACAAAAGATTGAAAAGTAACGTTTTTACGGTAAGTTGCCTGAAAATGAGCTAAGGAAAAGATTGTTAGAACTTCTTTCTTGATCAGGAAAGAGACCCGAAAAAACAATCCGAAAGAAATTGCAACCAGGATGACTTAGAAATCCAAAGGTGGAGATAATTCAAGAATCTCGATGTCCTGTGTTTTCCTGTGATGTTTCTCGGCTGTAAAATTCACGCTAAGATTATTGTCGCAATATTTTTAAGACATGGCGGTGTTCTAAAATATCATAAGGATAATGTTTATAATGCAAGTCATGGTAGGGAAACAAAGGATGCTATAAAAAGAGTGTTTTATTATATGTTATTTGATGAATAATTGCAAAATTATGAAAACTTCGAGAAAAAAAACTTTGCATTGTGCTAACGATTTGTCCAACTTTGGAATGACAGATCCAACTGGTTCTGAAAACCGTTAGTTGTTATCTGTTGAGATAAAAAAGTGAACTGTTTCGTAAAAAGTGTTCCTAGTAGGGAATATGTGTGTCTCTTCATCTTGATCGATAGACGCGCGTTCCTCGTTTACCGTTCCTCAGTGGAAGCAATTGTTTCATCTAATCACGATCTTTTAATTATGCAATGCAGCATTTTTAGCACCCAAAAGCCGCGACAATCCAAGGATTAGAAGAGCACTTTCACATCAGAGCGTTCTAAAGGATATAAAGAAAGAAAATTAATGGTTAGAGTTAGAGTTAGTTACTAAGCCGTGAAGATGAACGCAACGGAAAAATGTGTGCTTGGGCGATCGTTTGGGACCCTCACCTCTCTACATTACAGAAGGAGTTCGGGATTTTAGTACGAATTGGAAACGTTTCATACGGAATCTTTTTGGTTATAATTTACACATTATAACAATACACTCCAGTTTGGTCGCCAATCTGAAACTAATGAATCTTAAATATAAAAGGAAAACGTTTGTAACCGAGGACTGCAAAACCACTAAAAGCATTCCTTTGTCAAAGAATCTGGTCGTGAAGGGAGATGTAAACTAAATCGCGTGTTCTCCAGATTCACAGTGATTGTAGACACATTTATTTTCCGCAGAGTTTGTTACACTGTGATAGCGGTCTAAAGGATTCAATAAGAGTTAAGCTTTATCTAGTTTTTTCCCTACAATTTGGAGCTATTGTTATTGAAGTGTTTCATAGTTATATATTACTTACCAGGGACAGTAGCCCCATCTTCTGTCCAGTTCAAACACTTTAGTGACCGAACACCATCTCCTGACTTCGTTTTGAGCTGTGCATCTCCAGTAAACCGCTCCCTTATAAATAAAGGGAAACTTACAACAGGCACCCTGAGCGTTTCCACCCACTGTAGTGACGCCAGTTTTACAATCTGGAAGACAAAATAAAACTTTGTTGAAATTAAAGTTTAAAGTTGGTATCAGTGAGAATGGGTTTAATTAACTGCTTGTAGACGAATTAGCTGTTGTTACAACTTATCCTAGCGAAGGAAATGATTAGTTTCAATACAAACAACCTTGCGATGATAGTGTACTTTGCTTTACATCTAGCATGCCACATGACTTAGAATAGGGTTCACCCAGCACGATGTTTATTTACCGGTGTATTAACAACTCGAACGTGGTTTAGCGTGGTCTGTACTCTTATCGACAACGATACGCGTCATCACAGTGGTCAAAACGCTGTGGACCCACTGTGATAACGCGTATCGTTGTCGATTAAAGTACAGACCACGTTAAAACCACATTTAGATTTGTTTTTTTACCACAGTATCAACGTCAAAGACAATGTTTTTATTTTTCAGAGCGCCAGCTGAAATAGGTATGCGTGACACATTGACGCCAGCAGCGTTGTCTGGATTCTTATTGACAACGGCAAATTAGGCAATCAGATTTCGAGATTAGTAGCAATTGTGGTAAAAAAATTCGACACATACTAAATTTACAGATGATGGAACCTTTGCCTAACGTATTATGTTCAAATTTGAAATGTTGACCACCTTGCCGAGCAGTATTCTGGATTGGTTGTTTAATGCTTCCCATTCCGCTGTGTCTTCTACAGCATTCTTTGGAACACGTCAATGAGCACACTTTTTTACAGTTATCTGGACATGGTAAGTTAGAGCGGATCATAATGTTCGGTAATGAAGGTGGATGTGAATCTATAACAGGAACCGTGCGCGGCCCAGGCATCCTCAAGTAATTGCCAGCAATTAAAGTCTTCATCACAGCTTGTGCCATAGGTCTGTATCTTTTCATCGCTTCCTTGCAGCATTGAAGAGGGCAGTTAACACTGCAACTATGATAGCAGTTAGTCGGACACGGTAGGCTAACAGAGTATGACAGTGTGCCACGGTTAACTCCTCGCTGTGTACTTGTACAACAGTCCGCTGGACAGGAACTAACACACATGCTGTAGCAGACCTGTGGGCAGTACGTTGGAACAGGAGGCGGACTGGGGACGTAGAGCGAGGGAGGGGAAGCATTACAACAGCGGACAGGGCAGTCTGGGTGGCAGACCTTGGAACAGAGAGCTGGACATGACGGAGAGGTCTGCTGCAATTCAGATGGTTGCTGAACCTGTTGCAAATGAAGAGAAAGGGTTGGTGCTTTAAAGCAGACGATCGAGAGGAGGTTATTAAAACTTTGAACGTCCAGTCAACTCTAGGTGCTAACAAAAACAGAACTGAAATGTGTGTGGATCTGGATCTGAAACCCACTTCTAATTTTTGTTAGGTAGAAACATAATCATAAAAGCAGTTTGAGTTCTGCTTCATTATGTCAGAGAATGAAATATTTAACGGTTTGAGTAAAATTGCAATTATTACCTGAGGTACCCGAGGAAGCTGAGGTACTTGGGCAGGTTGGCTTTGCCCACTTGTTTTGCTCATTGCGCCTTTAACACAGCAGTAGTCAGGACACGTGTCGACACACTTACCGTCGCAGTCAGAGTGACATGGTGCAAAGGCAATGTTGGGTTGAGGCACCGAGCCAGGAGCATCACCTTTTAACCGATAAAAGGAAACGAAAAATGCAAGGATAGTTAACATTTGATTCATGCTTTAGCGTGCATCATCGAGCTCTGATGCACATGAAAATTTTGGAGAGCATCAAAGAAACAGAAGTGTACTCCAGCTTTTTCAGTCCTCTCTAAACTTCTCAAGTGCATCTTAACTCGATAATACACACTAAAAGCATGAAGCAATTGATTTTTACTTTTGTATTGGACGTAAAATTTCTCTGACGAAGCGACGTTAACTTTTCCCACGTCATGAGCGTTCGCCATGGATTATGACTTAGTTCTTAGTGCGCAATTTGTCTTCCGTTCCGATACCTTAACCTATAACCTAAGAGTTAGTGACTGTTCGCTTGCCATTCCACAGCCCCGCACTAATTATTGTAAAAGAAGTCTGTCCTACAGCGGAGCTGTACTGTGGAATAGTTTTATTTTGCTTTTATACACGGCTTACTTGTAAAGCAGGTTTTTTTATTTCTCTCGTGGCAGTAGTTATTAGTGATTTATTAGTTAGGTGGTCAGATTAATTTAATTTGATATTGTTAAGTCCTGAAGGAAATACCGTGTCTAAATAAAGATTTTACCTTACCTTACCTTACTTGCGCTTACGTGTGCTGTGTTTGAAAGCTAGCGCCGCTTTGCTAGCTATGTCATAATAACCTTTCTTTGAAATTGTCTTTCACAGAGCGACAGTTAATAGAGTTGATTGGACATGGAGAGTTTCGTATGTAAAAAGAAATCAAAACTTTTCATTAATTTGCCCAAAGCAAATTAAAGCGTTTTAGGAAATTATGGAAGAAAAATGCATTTTTCTCACCTCCACAATAACCCCACAGCTTGTCCACGTCATAGTTGTAAGTAGTGGCACACCAGGGCCTGGTACCGTCTTGAGTTGTACAAGTGGTGTACATTTTACCGCCATATATGAATGGAAAATGGCAGCAGTTGCCATTTGAATTGCCGCCGTAGCACAAAAAGCAACTGGAACAGAATCCCCATTGCTTATCAGCGTCATAATTAGTAGTTGTTGCGCACCAGCGATAGCCTCGTTCGGCTCTTGTACAGCGGTGTTGCGGGTTTCCTTGGTAGATGAACGGAAAAATGCAACAAGCGCCTTTTGAGGTCCCTCCATGGGTTGGCATGCAACCTGTATGTTGAGATTTACGAGAAGCATTGAATTTTGTATTTTAAGTCTAAATTGAATTTATGTGACTTTGTGAAGAAACAAACTTACCTTGAATTGTCACTGACCCTGAAATCAATGCAAAGTTATTAGAATTTAAAATGTTTTATTTGTACCTTTCAATGATTAAACAAGTTAACATCTTTCAAGATGACAAAATGCTGCTCACCAGTAAGTGTAGGAAGCGTTGTTATTGGAGGAAGTGTTGGTAAAGTAACTGATACAATCGGTGGAGGCGTACTTTTAGGTGACGGGGGTGACACGCACGGAGGTGGGGCTCCAGGCGTTTGTGGGCTACCCGGTGGTGAGCATGGGGGTGAAAGAACAGGCGGGGGACTGGGAGGTGGGACAGGATGAGGAGTGCACGGTGGTGGAGATCCTGGAAAACATGGGGGAATAACAGGAGGGCTAGGTTTAGGCTTACATGTAGGAGGCCCAGGAGGTAATGGGCCAGGAGAAGGTGGGCATGGTGGAAGAATGGTAGTTAGTGGTTTAGTGGTACGAGGTGTTGTTGGGGAACATGGGCGAATGGTCGACAAAGTTGTCCCCGGAACTCCAGGAGTACATGGTGAAAAAGTAACGGGAAGCTTCGTTGTTATGATAGAGGGTGATGGCGAGGTTGGCGGAGGGGGGGAAGGAGGAGGTGGTGGTTTTGTTGGCTTTATTGAAGGAGGAGACGGTTCTGGTGTTGCCGGTGGTGGGGGAGGTGGCGCGTGAGTCGGTTTTGTTGGTGGCGTAAAATGTTGAGGATGAGGGTGAATGTGAATGTGTATATGAGGTGTTATTTTTGTGGGAAGAGGAGGAGGAGGAGGAGGAGGAGGAGGTAGTGGTAACGAAACCGGAGCTGGAGGTGGGGCTGGAGGTGGGGCTGGAGGTGGGGCTGGAGGTGGGGCTGG